CAAAAGCAGTAAGTGCATATGATGAAAGATAATTTTGCCACATCCTGATCTTAAATCAGGGATGGAAATGTTCAGTGGCCAAGGGCCACACTTAAGAGGGAGTGGGGGAGAGCAGTGGTTGAATGGGCAATGGTGCATAATTGGTGAAGCCATTTCTGCTGTATGAGTGGAGCTAAGGTCCGAGAGGGTTTCTTCCAGTGGTGGGATTCAAATATGTGGACAACCGGTTCTCTATGTGGATGCCGCCTCCAGAAGTCCATTCTGGGCCTGGGCAACAAAAAATTCTGCCAAAGTGATGCGAACTGCTGAATCCCACCACTGGTTTCTTCTGGTTGTTGTTATGGGGAGTCAGAATTCAGAATAGAGCTGGAAGGGACCTTGGAGGTCAACCCCCTGCTCAAGCAGGAGACCTTATATCATTTCAGACAAGTGGCTGTCCGGTCTCTTCTTAAAAACTTCCAGTGATGAAGCATCTACAACTTCTGAAAGCAAGCTGTTCCATTGGATGATTTGTTTGTTGTTGTGTTTTACTATTAAGAGTCACTGGCAAATCCTTTCAATCCAGAAGCCTCCTTCAGTTAGCTTTGTAGATGCTTCTGACATGACTACAGATAGACCATTAAGCACATTTTAGGTTCGACAAGTCTTGTATATCTCCTGTTGGATTTATTTACCACAAGTCTTGTGCTAAAATTATGTGGATTTGTGTGCTTGTTTGGCCTGATTTTCACCAAGAACAATCTAAGCTGGGCAGAAGGCATACAAAACAGCAGTAGGGATGGCCCTCTCATTTCCAGCCTTGAAGATGTTAAAGGCCAGCAACCACCATTTTGAATCACCCCTTAAGTCAAAGTGGAATATAGTGCAATTAGTAGTCAGATATTCTGCAAACACAAATCCTGTGACTAGCCTAAGAACCCCATTCTGGACTAGTTTGTGTCAGCCTCCAGATTTTCTCTTGTGGCAGCCTTACTACAGAACACATTGCAGCAATTCAGACACACTTCCAGGGTTATCAATGTAATGGATAGAAGTTATGTAGTTATTTAATTTCCAGTATTTCTGCCTTGGCACAATGTCATATTTCTAGGCAGTCTACATATCAAACAATAGAAAAGCAGTAAGCATGGTATTAGCCTAAAAATAGTAAAATTTAAAATAATCCATTGCCATTTGACTAGGAAGCGAGGTATAGATATTAATCTCCATAATTATAGAGGTTATTACACTACTCTTAAGGAGATTGGGAAACAGTAGGTCCTGATGAGTACAAAGGTAGCACATGACAGTCGTTACAAAACATAACCCAGAAAAGAAACACTCTGCCTGGCTTTCAGGATTTTATTATTATAGTCTGTATCAATAAAATAGACTTCTAGTATTTCTTCTAATTGAAAGGGTGACATCAACTTTACAAACTGGACAGAGTTTCTCTTTTCCTCCCTCTTATACTCATGAAAATCAGTGTAGGGCAATCTTGAGTTTCTTCCTCATCCCTTCTGTCTTTCCAGGCTAAGCTGATGACCAATATAAGGTCTAGCTGGTCAGAGTCTATTCCAAAGAATGGGGTTGCAGCAGAGCATCAGTTCCCACCCCAGCCACTTCCTGAACTGAGGAAATTCAGAACATTCCCCCTCTCAGGTAGAAGGGACAGGCTGACCAGTGTCACAAGAGATGAGACAATCTCATTTCCCATGGGGGCTTTGCTAGTTAAAACCAGCATTTCGAATTGCACTCAGAAACACATTGGAAGGTAGAGGCACTAATAATATTAACAAGACATTGATGCAATATTTTTTATTAATGAATAGGGAAAGCACCGTATAGCAAGAGCTTTACTTTCTGCTTTCTGTTATTTCAGACCTGCTTTCAGTTAATGATATCCATCCATCCATCCGTCCATCCATCCAGTTCTTCTATTGGCAATATATAATGGCGGGAGTTACTTGCCTCAAGTAATCAGTCAGGCCTCCCTGGAGTGAAATGAGCTGGCAAGTTGTTCATGAGGTTTCACATGTTTCTGTTTTGTGCTGTAATGGAAACCGTCTGTATTGCTTGGCCTGGCTTTTCTGCAAATACAAATGCTGATGTAATTAAGAGTGCAGGGAGGGAAGGCATTAAATGGCACACAGGAAGAAATAAGGAGGTTTGATCCTTGGGCTGCAGTACTATTGAAAATTTCTGACACTGAGATATTAGCAAACAGCTACTGTGGTTCCTATGTTGATTAGGTCTAGCAAGGAGTGAAACCTGTTCAGTGTGAAATCGTCTCCACGGTACAAGTCACTCTTTGCAACGCTGCCCTGCCCAAATGCTAGGATCCTGAGAGCTTCCCAGGGATGTCACTTCTGCCACTGATTTTCCGAACTAGGTAATGACATAATTACAGCAAAGTCTTGTGCTTTTGGGTGGGCCTCAGTTCTCTTTGATCCTTTTTGAATGGTTAAGTTCCAGCGATACTGATTAAGAAGCACAAGATTAGAAGGGAGGAAAAACAGTGAAAGACTGGGACAGAGAGGGAACATCACAGGAAATTTAGCATTTATTTGTTTTGATTATTCTCCTGGAGGGACTGTTGGTTTAATTATGAAGATCAAAAAATTACAGAAAATATCCTTGAAGCAATCCAGTAACTTGGCCAATTCTTGTTTTCTGCTGGGTCATAGATGGGCAGAGTGATATTTGCTCCCCTTCCCACTGAAAAGGATTGGAGACAAATTCTCAGCCCCATAGAAAGATAGGGCAAATAGGACACTGTATGAGTTTGCCCCTATAGCTAAACCATCTCTTCCACTACTCATACTCTGTTTCCAGTTGGGGTTATACATCAGTTAAAAGATTATAAGTTCTTAATAGCAATGGCCTTAATATTGCAATGGAAATGCATGTGTATCAATTATGGATGCAGGCTGAATGAAGAATGTGTAATGGCACAATCTACTGCATATTTTGATCTTAGAATTTTATTTTTTTGATTATCTACTCTATAAACTCTCTGGTAATCTCTGCATGCATTTTGCCAAACTGAGAATTGTTGCATTAATACATGTGTTTGTATAACCGACCCAGCAGATTGCTTTCGTGTCACGCAGTATACTTTCTTTGCCAAGGGGTCATTAAAAGCACAAAATTCAGGTTTAATATAGCTTGCTTTGAACCAAGTGTAAATATTGCAAGTTATAAGCTTCAGTTCCTTTTACTTCCTGTTTTTCTGATAAGACTTTTGACATGCAGCTAATTATACTCAATGTTTTATACATTTCTGAATATTTAAGTCCTCCATGGAGAGCTCTCTCTCTCTCTCTCTCTCTCTCTCTCTCTCTCTCTCGTTGGAAAAAAAGGAAGAGCTGTGTGTTGGACTTTGCTACAAAGAGAAAACTGGATTGAAATGAAGTTTCTCCATCTCTCATCTAGTAAAGTGGAAACATTGCTGTGGCATGGGTAGAGATTATTGTTAACAAATGGGAGTTAGTCATGGAGAACTGGGGCAAAGCTTGGTTCTTCATCTCACACTCTGACCCCTATCATGCTGCTTTAGCTTCTATTCAATTTAGGAACATCTAATGTCAGGAAGAGCTGGTCTCTGGTGATGAGAGTGAATTAAGAGATTGGAACCCACTCTCTTCAGAGCCCTGTCCCTTGGATAGCACATTCTACATTTGAAAACATCCTTAGTTTATATAAAATATATGTGATAGGACAAATAATTCAGCAGCACCACCCTAACTTGCCATCTCCAGAGTATTTTTTAGCGCAGGTAGGGCATTAGAACACAGTGGAATAATCCAGATGGCCATTTTGCCATGCTTTCTTCCCATCCTAAAGCCAAGGTGAATCATGTCAGCATCAGTTGTGTTATTCCCACTCCATGTCCTTAATGGACTTCTGATTTTTTTTTTCTATAGTGCTGCTGACTTATCAACTTAACAACCACTTAGCTGACAAAGCTTTCCTCTCTTGCCCAAGGTCCAGCAACATCTTAGCTCTACAGTATTGGATGGTAAATACTAAAAACTACCATTCTCTGAAAGGTTTTGCCCCTTGTAATGCCGGAGAGGTAAAAACTACAGAACATATTATTCTTTCCTGGTCTTTTTATAGAGACATCTGAACCAGATTCATACTACCTCTAATTAATAGATATCCTGGTTGCCCAGATTCAGCCTATGACCAGATGCTGCTCATAGATAAACTACCTTTTGTTACAGCATATGTAGCTAGGTTTTGTGGAGCATCACAGAAGATCCATCAGACCCTGACGGGCCAATTTTCCAATGCATTCTATGTAACTATAATTCACTTAAATTTTAGAGCACTTGGTTATAACTTTTGATGCTATCATATTTAATATAATTTTAGTGCTTGCGTTATAATTTGATATAGGCCGTATCACGGACCTCACTTATATGTATTAGTTAGGTTGTTTTACAAATGTATTTTAACTTTGTCTTAAACTTTATTTCTATGTGGATGATCTCAGCGTAGGGCAGTAAGAATGTGGGAACACCACAATCTTACACTGTAAGAGACTTCTAACAAAGTAAATAGGTAATGTTTAAAACAAGTGGTGTTCAGGAATTAGATTTTCCTGGGCATTTTTTTTCTTCTTGGCCATGGACTCTTCTATTTCACAGTTGAATATTCTGTCTATTTGGCCCCAACATCATGGACTAAAATCACTTACGTCTGTCTCACCAGTTTAAGGGTACATTTTGGCTTGCTCTTTTGAGCTTGGATGTGAATGGCAGTTGGTTTGGCAAAAAAAGATGGAGGAGAGTCAGCTGTTTCCTGCTTTAGGGGGGCTCAAATAATATCTCCAGCCTGTACTTTGAAATGTGTTCTGGTCAGATCCAATCTTTCTCTTTTTCCCCCCTCTGTAGCACAACCATAATCTCCAAGGAGAAATATTAGCCAGATGAAGAAAATGCCAAAATATTTGGGTACACAGAAATGTTAAAATATGACAAATTCACCATGTCTTTATTTTTTTTTAAATTTAAGATTCAAAGACCAAATTATATCCACAAAGTATAATTTCCCCACAAAATTGATATTTTTCAAGAGAAAAGAAACACATAATATAATATCTCCCTTGTTTGTTCAGCAGAAAACTCAGCTACACACATCTAATTCAGGCAAAAAACTAGCTAATCCTTCTAGGCAAAATTATGCCCATCATTCAGTAACTACAAATATATCCATTGCCAGCAGTGGATTTCACATTTGGAGAGTCCCAACAAGTTAAAATTAGTATTTTAAATGCTAAATTCATTGTCTCTATAAATTAAAAAAGAAGAAAAAAAGAAAAGATGGTTGATTTCCCTGGGTTAAGATCATTGATACCATTCATTAAGGATCCTGAATGGCAACCTGTTTATTGGAGATAAATGTTATGAAAATAAAAGGAATGCAGCAAGCAATATTCTCCTGCTTGATGTTGCAAAAGTAAAGAATTAAAAAAATAAAGCCATTTCCCGAGTGAATTGCTTTTTCTTCAGCTTAGAAAAGGGTAGTGCCAGAGGGAAAGAACAGATGGTTTCACTTTTCTTCTGCATTTTTTCACACAAAACAGCAGCCCCATTCAATTGGTCCACATGGCCTCAGAAAACTCACCTTAATGGGGTTGTATGGACAGAATGCAAGACTGTCCTGTTCAACTGATAACATTGCACATACGTTTTTTTTTTATTATTGCAGGTCCTGAAGTAACTTGTACAAAAATGATGGGCTTAGAGAAATCAGTCCATTCATTTGTCACTGAACCACCATAATTAAAAATTAAAATTCCTTCCTATCCGCTCAAATCTTAACTCCAGAATGGACTGAAATCCCTCTGAATTCAACAGAATGCTTCCAGAACAGGGACTTGGGTCTTCTGCCTTTTTTTTCCACAGAACCTAAATGGTGTTATGTCATCATCAAAAATTCAAGGATGGAAGTAAAGTTTCTAAAACTTTCTCAGCTTCTTCATCCTAAAAAGGAAAAAAAAGAGAAAAGAATTAAGCTTATGTAACTATGCCTTAAGAATCACCCAGAGCTGCTTGAAGCCAGCGCCAATTTCTGCATCAAAACAAGAGATTATGTTCAGTGTTAATAGTGCAGAAAGGATTACTGGTTCATTCTTCTTCCAAATACAGTACAAAAACAAAGTAGGGGAAAAAGGAGAAGACCCTACTTTTATACTATACTTTTCCTTTCCAATTTCCTTCCAAAGAAGGGTAATGAGGTGTTGTCTACAATTCTAATGGCTTATAATTAAAGGTTTTCATCTTCCAACAGTCACCTTGGGAGGTGTTTCAGTGAACCCAACATTCCTGTGGCTTGAAGTTTCTAATTTGCATTTTCTCCCTCTCCTTTGTTGCTGTTAAAACACAGATTCTCAGAGGGACTCAGCAGTTTTGTTGGTCTTACAGCTGCTCAGCATCTCTGAGCGTTTTTTTGTTGTTCTTGAACTTCAAGTTCAGCTCCCACAAAACTGGGTGGCCTTTTGGAAATGAAATTATATTAAGTGACACATCTCTAAGCAAACATTATTGGCACAAAATCATTTTCTACCCGGTTTAGACTCCATAACTATATCGCCACCAATTTGCTCACAGTGTTGTTGAAAATAAGAAACTGGCCTAAACTGCTTTCTGGGAGAAAGTCAACGACAGATTTTGACAAAATATACAGAGAATTTACACTATACAGGTAGTCCTCGACTTACGACCACAATTGAGCCCAAAATTTCTGTTGCTAAGTGAAATGCTTGTTAAATGAATTTTTGCCCCGTTTTACGACCTTTCTTGCCACAGTTGTTAAGTGAATCACTGTAGTTGTTAAGTTAGTCACACAGTTGTTAAGTGAATCTGGCTTCCCCATTTGTGTCAGAAGGTCACAAAAGGTGATCACATGACCCCAAGCTTCTGAATTTTGATCATGTGACCATGGGGATGCTGAAATGGCCCTAAATGTGAAAAATGGTTATATGTTAGTTTTTTCAGTGCCGTTGTGACTTTGAACGGTCACTAAATAAACTGTTATAAGTCGAGGACTACCTGTGAATGTATGCCCATACAAATATGAATTGTCAAGGCCATGGTTTTCCCCAATGAAAGACAAAGCCATGAAAGCTAGATCATCAGAACTAAGAAGAATTGGCACCCTTGAATTGCTGGACAATATTGCTAAAATACTTTGGCCTGCAAGCAGAACAAATCATCAACATAACAACTCATTGAAGTAAAACCTCCTCATTGGAAACATTAATAATAAAGGTAAAGCTTAAGTATTTTAGATATTTTAGATGCATAATCTGAAGGCAAAAATTATGTGAGAAGACCTTTATACCTGAAAAAAATGAAAGGAAATGGAAAAATATGTCAAAAGGCAGGAATTATCATATGTAGTAGATTTGTGAGAAAGCTAAGAAATGTTGGATACCAATTCATATAATGATGCAAAGAATTTTAAAGACTGATGTTGCCAAAATAAGAGAACTCTTTTTATTGGGACTTATGGGCAATGAATTAGAAAAATATTCACGGTGAGCTGATTTTGTATATAGTCACTGCAGCAATATTATTTCATGTATAATGAGGAAGAAGAACCAAATCTTCACAGTAGAAAAATGGGTTGTAAAAATGTCAGAATTCATAGAAATGGCAACATTGACCTGTCTGGTCAGGAAAAGAACAACTTTCCTGTCAGGAAAAAGTCTGGAAACTTTTTTTTGCTGAAAGAAGAAATGACACAATGACTTATGGGATTGAAGGTTAAGAATGATATAATTTAAGTAAGAGGCTAAGGGAGTTATATAATATCTAAGAGGGAGGAAGGACTATAAAATTGTAACTATTTGTTGAAAGGTTGAGAGTTACATTTCTTAAGTTTAGGGTTTTTTTTCCTTTTTCCTTTTGATTTGTTTTTTATGGTTTTTTAAAAAAATATAAATAAAAGGAAAAGAACTGACAAAAGACAAGGGAGTCAGATATTATCACTTGTGATACAAGCATGAACTTATAATAACTTAAAAAATTTTTTTTACTGGAAACTAATCCTGGCAAAATAAGAGTCAGAAGTGACTGAACTGAATGAACAACAAATTTAATGAATTCAACGAACAACATAAATACTACTTTAAAATAAACACAACCATTTATTTACAAGCATAAGACAGTCTCTGTTTGCTACAAATGTCAGAAATGTCAATATAGGGATTTAGCAGTATTAGGGTTTATCTGTCCTTTGGGAACTATCAGAGAACTTTGCACTGTACTCTCTGGAATTAAGCAGCAAAAACAATATGAGCATGAAAAAGGTCAAATCTACTTCAAGTTGAGTCACAGAGATATATAGCCAAGTGGTTTTCTTGGCAACAGTATGGACACGGACATTGTCACTGCTGACCTCTGAGATACATTTCCCTAGTCTAATTCATTACGCTGGGATCTCTGGAGTCCTTCTGTCTAAGTCTTAAACAAGAATGATCCTGCTTAGCTTTAGATCAGTTGAGGCCCAAGTGTTGCCATCTTCCAAGGATAGTTGAATACTGTTGCTTATATTGGAGACCAATATTGAAGCTTCATGTCTTCAAATATAAGCCGGATAGATAGTTGCAATTAAGACCATAAAAAATAGCTAAGTAATAATGTATCAGTGCTGGAGAGGAATTTATAGTATTCATTCTCAACCTCTATCTTCATTGCACAAAACTTATACTTGCATAATTGCATAGTTAAAAGGACTAGGCAACTAAATCATAATGAGATATAATTTCAATGATCCCTTATTCCCTCTATTTTTAAAGCATAGTGAATCAGTGGGCTTAATAGGGTTAAGTAGCTATTTTCTTCCGAAGAGCAATTTCTAAATCAGAGAGTAATAATTGCAAAATTAGACTACGGCAATCAGAGTCACCAGCTGCACTGCACTTCAAATTGTCCAGTTCATAATCAAATGAGACATTAGCCCTGTGATCGAAGTCATCTTCTTAAATATAATGTCATAATATCGGATTTTACATATTTTCAACACTGCAGTAACGGACATCAAAAGTTCTTTTGTTTTCTTATACCATATTTCGCAAGATTTTGAACACATGACTTCTCTTCCTTTTGTTTCTAGATCTTCCTCTATAGTATTAAAGTTTACCAGGTTACCAGGAATTAAATGAAATTAACGAGAGCTGCGGAAGACAGATAACGTCTTCTGACATTGACAGATAGTGTGGAAAGTAGCTGTACAAGAAAATCTTTTCGCACCGCTTCTTCATCAGAAGATGAACACACAACCTTCAGACCTACCTCTTTGGTGACTGGCAGAATGGACAATGCTGTTTCACAGCACCTTAGGGCATTGCTCCTCTGGCCCAGATCTCTGTAACACTTAGGTAGAAAAAAGGACAAGGAAAAAAATATATATAATAGGTAATTAGTGACCAGAAATTTGTTTTGCATTCAAAAACAAAAAACGAGAAAAGAAATTAAAGTGGAGAAAGACTACAGTGCCTCATACCTTTGCCAAATAGACGTAGTTGCATTTAGAATATCTGGGATGTATTTCTTCAGCCTGAGTATAAGGACAAAAGATAGAAAGATGAGAATGCCATAAAGCAGACATGTCAAACACAAGGCCCGGGGGCCAGATGCAGCCTGCGAAGTGGTTTCATGTGGCCCGTGAAGCCATCCTGGAAACAGTGAGGGAACGGCCCCCGCTGCCTTGGCTCCAGGCCAGCCAGGAGCCAATGTACAATTTTGTGGTGGCCATCTTGGCACTTGCCCCGGTGGACCATGCCTTGGCACTTGCCCCGGTCCCACCCCCTTCTGCCAGAAACCCTCAGATCTGTCCCACTCCTTCCCAGGCCCCCACAGGCACCCTTGACGCGAATGATGTAGAACTGGCCACGCCCACCCAGTAGGCTGCACCCACTCTGGCCACACACCCCCGGCCCCCCCAGGGCAACCGCAATGCTGATGCGGCCCTCAGTGAAATTGAGTTTGACACCCCTGCCATAAAGCAAGACTAGGCATACTTCCATATTGCTTTCATGTCCCAAACCTTCAAAATATTTTGTACTGCTCATATGTCTTCTCAATGCCAATCTGCATTTCTGGACCTAAACAGCTCTCTCTTGAGGTGCTAATGGTTGAAAACAGGCAGCTAGTACTATACTCTCACATTGTTACTTTGCTGCCTCTGTTTTTATAGGGAACAATATTAAAAGGTACTGATAAAAGGAGCTCACAAAGTCCAAGTTTTGGTCCAAGTTTTGGCATTATGTGGCTTCCCAACTGCAGGGAAGGAAGAGAGCCAAGGCCCTTAGACAAGCAATTTCCATCAGTGAGAAATAACTTGGTACCAAGCTTCGGAGGAGTTGCTATGTTGAAAATCAACAAATTTTGGGTGATTCATGATGCCCCATAGAAGTCAATAGGCTCAGCTACTCAGCAGGGCAAGGGATCATAGAGGCATGGCACCAATCTAGAATTGGTGCCAAGGCCTCCGGTGCAAATGCTCCAGCATATCAATGACATGATTCTTACAAAGCAAATAAATCTTCCCCAAACTTAGCCAGTAAGGATAAGGTTGCAGACATCCATAGGATATAGTTCATCCAAGATTGAAGACAGCAACACACAAAGACACAGTAAGCAAAACTAGACATTTCAGCAATGTAGGCAACCATATACCCTCCACAAGTTTGAGACTTCTACTGCCATTAGCCCCAGCTCACCTACTACTGATTTACTGAATCATTACAGCCAATTCAGTGAGCGGAAACAGACTTAATATCTGCTCGGTTTCAACCAACTGTTGAAATAGTACACAAAGGGACACCTTGTAGACTGATGGGAGGTGGAAGGATGGATCTCAGAGACCAGCTAAATCATTTTGCAAGATCTATTTTACTCCCATGGTCTTCATACTGTTTCTTATCAAAGTCATTCAGTAGAGGCTGCTGGACTATTTGTACAGTATATCACTTTCGAGAAGTGATCCAAGGGAAGTAAGAACAGGGAAATTGCCTGAAATCTAGACCTGATCTATTATTTCTGCTTCTTAACTAGCACTAAGGATGAAAGTAAAGACACCCCCCCCCAAAAAAATAAGGAAGTAACAAAGAGAAAAGGGGGGGGGGGAAAGCAGAGGAGAAGAAGAGACGGGGATGAAAGCTCTAATTTCTTTAGAGCATCTGTGCTAAGCAGCAATTATTAAATTGCTCAGACAAACTTCCTGTGTTTAACTAGTCAAAAATGACAACAGGGGCTAATTCCACAGGAAATTCTCATAAACAATTCTATGGATGAAATTCAAAGGGCTGAATATTTAATTGCAAAAAAGAAAAAAAAAGAGCAGCATAGCAGATCCTGAAATTCAGCTTAGGTGGACAGGAGCGGTCCCTCTTCTAAAGATATTGCCTGAGAAAAATCTTTTGAAGAGCATTGACTTTGTAGCGCCTGGGAACAATTTGTTGAACAAATTTCTTGAATGCCAGCCAGTTGGCAGCCAGAGAGAAGAGAGAATATTTTATCTACCTTCAGAAAATTCTGCAAAGCCTCGTGTATTGTTGAAGTTGGTGGAATCCCAAAAAGAGCAGCAGCTACTTTTTTCTCAATCCAAGACAACTGAGCGACCTTTGGAAACCCCAACAAGAAGAAGGGAAAGGTGGGGAAAAATATACATTTAGTGTGTTTTTAAATATCAAGACAAATGTCATGATAAAATATCTCGACAGTGATGGTCACAAGTGCAAGCATTGGTCACTTTTTTCAGTGTTGAAAGGTTGTTAAATGAATGGTCATAAGTTGAGGACTACCTGCAGCTTGTATTCTATATATTCTTCTAAGTCCTTTGGGGGCTTATTCTTATATCCAGCTAACCAAATATGCCTTCTTAGCAGATTTCTGAAAAAATGTCCTCTTGATACTGCTTTCAGTTCATGCCCAGCTTATTAGAGGGAGCTTAAAAATATTCTAATATTGAAATATTGGTTTCTCTTTTCCTCCAACACATGTATTGTTGTATAATCTGTGATGGCTGGTTGATTATGTTGGTGATGATGTACTTAGAGGTTGGCATATGTACTTACTTGCTTCTTTAGGCTGTAGTGGGTATGCTCTCCTGCCCTCAAGTTGCTAAGCACAACCTTCCCTACCTGTTTTGACTTAGGCTGCTAAAGAGATCAAAACACCTAGCTTCCCCCAATGCATCTGGCCTGCCAATACATTATGCAATAGGCATGGTTCTCATATACACAGGTTTAGCACTCTAGACCTGTTTTAAAACATATTTGCCCATCTTTTGAAAGAGAAGCCTTTTATAAACCAATAACTGTCTTTAAAAAAAAAATCAACGAGTGTCCTGGTTGATTTAAATGGGCAAAGAGAGTTCTCATGAATGAAGGCAAATTCATTCATTCATTCAGAGGGAGTTTATGTTACAAATGAATGTATTTCTGCTGTTTTGAATGACAAGGCATTTTACATGATTGCACTTTTTAATGGGTGTGTGTGTATGTGCATGTATGTGTGCAATTTTGTGTACTTCATGGGCTACGCTTGCTGACATTGTCCTGCAGCACTTACTGATTTGGGATACAGGAGAGCTGCAGTGAAATTGACAAGAATTCCGCCTGTTTTCATCCTTCAGCTTCAAAGAGGAGCCACTGGCATAGGCTGAACCAGACCTGACCACTTCCTGCCAACACTGACATTTCCTTATAGCACTTCCTTTCTCTTTACTCCGTTCCCTCATAAAGTGCTTACAAATGAGAAGGACCACTCTTGATTCTCTTTGCAATTTCCTTGTAATGCCATTTCTTTGGCCTGTCAATTAGGGTATTTCTGAATGTATGTCCACCAGTCTTCTGGAAGAACACTTCCTAAAATAGCTTGGGCAACAGACTACACACAGAACTGAAGGCCATAGAAAGAAACATATATGACCTCTTCACACTTCACCCATCATGCTTGTGACCCAACAACTTCTCTTTTCTTCCTTTTGGACGTGGCTAGAGGGCTCTTCCAGAAGACTGGTAGACATAAGCAGCCTGGATATTTCTGTACTATGGGGAACCTCAATGAAAGCAATCTATAATTCAAGCAACTTGGAAGCGGGTGAAAATCTCCATTCCAGGCACCAGTCATAGTATTCCAGGCAGGCTCCACCACACATTAAACACACTGGGGGATTGAAGGGGATATGCAACTCAGAAATCAGCCAATTGCTATATGTGAACTGCCCTACATTAAAACTGTTAAGACAGCATCAGACTCTAACCTTGTCACTGAAGAAGAATGGGGCTTCAGATATCAGGGCCATGCAATTTATGTTGGTATACTTTCTGCCAACTCAAGGACAGGAAAATTGCATGTCAATATAACTGAGAGGGAGAACTCTTGGAAAATCAGAGACCTTTGAACAACATCATTAAGGCCATTCTATCCAGCTGAAGCATACAGTATATGGATTGTTGGAAAACTAAAATAAAGGGAAATACTGTTTCTATAATATAGGAGAAACCATTCAATTTTTTTATGCACATACCAGCCTGCATGCATGCACACACACTTGGAATATCACAAATTGATGGCTCACAAACAAGTTTCATCTGTGATATTGCAGCACATAGGCGTCTAGATTTTCCATGTGGAATCTGCAATCAGCTTCTAAAACTTGTGGCTGAGTTTCAAAATAAAGGAACCGTCTGGGGCAATATACATTTTCTTGCAAAAATTAATAAGAACTGATATAGAGGATTTCAGTTTCACATTTTGGTTTGGATGCGAATTTGATCTACATTGCTTAATAATCCTTCTTTCCCCAAAGGTCCTGTTTTACTTGACTCTAGCATATTCTAAAAATAAAATTAAAGCATTTAAAATGGAAACGTTATTATAATTACAATTTTAAAAGGCCAAATTATAAGAGTTGGAAGGGGCCATCTAGACCATTAAGTTCAATCTCCGGTGAAGGAATCCAAACTGAAGTATTCCAGACAGAGGGCTCTCCGGCCTTGACATCAAATTTATCCAACCAAGTGGAGTCCATCACTCCCCTAGGACGGTACTTGGCTTTGCTGCTAAACTGCTGTTATTGTTAGGAATTTTTTTTCTAATGCTCAGCTGAAATCTGCCTTCTTGTAACTGAAACCCCTTATTCCATGACTTGCACTACAAAACATGAGATGACATCCTCTTATACAAAGTACTATCAAGTTCCCCCGCTCAACCTTTTCAAGGCTAAACATGTCATCTTAGAAGTCATAGAATCATAGGGCTCAAAGGGACCTTGGAGGTCTTCTAGTGCAACCTCCTGCTTATGTCATTCTGGACTGGACAAACGGTTGTCCAGTTTTTTCTTGAAAATCTCCAGCAATGGAGCACCAACAACTCTAGGAGGTATATGTTCCATTGTTTAATTGCTCCTTAGTTTCAGTCCGAATCTGTTTCTGACAAGCTTCCACCCACCGCTTTTTGTTCTGTCCTCAGGTGCTTAAGTTGACCCCTTCCTTTCTGTGACAGCCTCTTAAATTCCGGAAAACAGTTATCATGTCATCCTAATCCTTCTCTTCAATAGGCTAGACCAGTGGTGGTGAGCCTATGGCATGCGTGCCAGAGGTGGCACTCAGAGCCTTCTCTGTGGGCACGCACGCCATGCCCTGGAGATGGCAACCGTCCCTCTTCAACCAGCTGCCCGCTAACTTGCCGAGGTCCCACATGGCCAGATGCATCCCAGCACCCATGCACTCACTGGCCTCTGTGTGCAGCGGCTGATGGTGTCAGGCAGCAGCCGCCCCGGCCCCTGCCTCACCTTGCCCTGTGACAATGGCACCCCCGCCCTGCCTCGCCTTACCCAGCAGGACGAGCCTCCTGCCCACCGCCCCACCTGCCAGAGACCCCATGGATCTCCCCCAACCCTGCCCCCACAGGCAGTTCTCTCCACGAGCAACATCGAAGTGGCCATACCCACCCAATCTGCCATGACCACCACAGCCACGCCCACCCAGTAGGCCACACCCATCTGGCACCCAGCGATAAATAAGTGGGTTTTGGATTGCAGTTTGGGCACTCGGTCTCTAAAAGATTTGCCATCACTGGGCTAGACATACCTAGTTCCCTTAACTATTTATCATATAGTTTAGTTTCCAGACCCTTTATCATCCTTGTTGCTCTTCTCTGCACTATTTTTAGAGTCTTAGCATCTTTTTCTTTCACGGTGACCATAATTGAACACAATATTCCAAGTGTGACCTCACTAGTGTAGTATAAAGTGGTACTCTCACTTCTCATGATCTTGATGCTATCCCTGTTGATGCAATCTAGGACTGCATTGGCTTTTTTGGCAGCCACAGCACACTGCTAGCTCACAGTGGTGGTCCACTAGGACACCTTTCACAGTTACTACTGTTGAGCCAGGTATCACCTATTCTATACCTGTGCACTTGTTTTTCGTGTCTAAATGCAGGGCCTTATTTTTCTTACCACTGAACTGCACTTTATTGGATTTGTTGCATTTTATTGGCTCTTTCTCAATATCTCTCACAGAATCTAGTTTCTAATTAGCTGTTATTCTTCCCAAACCTATTATAGTTTCTCTGAATCTTCTTAAAATGTGTTGCCTGGAGCTGGACACAGAATCCAAAGTGGGTCCTGACCAATGCAAAATAAAATGGAGCTGTTTCTTTAAGTGTACAGTCCTCTCCCAGTTGAAAAGATTGATGCCCTCTGCTATAACAGAATCAAGAATATGCATGGAACAAAGTTTTGAACACACATTCAATTATTCCATTCTCCTAAAAGGCGAACAATTTATTTGCAAAAGGAAATTCTCCAAATGGATTTTGAGGTGTGTTTCAAAAAGATGAGGCAGCTTTTAAACTCACGTAATTTTCTAAAAGAGCCCTTTTGATATATTTTTAAATTGCCAACCCCTTCCTGGCTTTTCCTAGTATCAGACTTTGTTTAGCTTAACAATTCCATAAAGTAGATTTCAACGAAGGAGAGTAAATTTATCCAAGACTAAAGAATGACAACTGATGGGCATGCCTTTTCTTATATTCAGACAAAAGAATCAGACACCTCACCAGTTCCAAAATGAAAAACCCAGGGCAAGCCTTCATTTGTTTATCCAAAACATCCTGGGCTTAACAGTCTTACTCCCATGAACATCTATACAAGATTGAATTCCACACTTGATCTATTGTGTGAGTTATCCTAACTGTAACCCTATGCAATTAACCTAGCATATGGAAGTCTGCATCCTTGAATTTTAACAGCTTTCTGATAGGCTCCGCCCCCTTGCTTCAGAAATAATCATCCTTCCTGAAATACATTTGTCCAAATTATTTGACAAGAACATCAACCTTCTCAATATTCTAGTTATTTTCTAATTTGATTCCAAATGTTTCACCTGACCTGAAGGAATTTGATATTATTTTAATCTCAGATAATTACCATACCTTTAGATAAATGTGAGTAATTGAAAATAATATATAAACTATAAAGAGTATTTTCTGTTTATGAAAAGGAGTAGGTCGTGATTATTAGTGGTTTTATTATACGAATGGTGATGTATAAATTGTCAACTTGGATTCTATTCTAGCAGGCTAACAACTGTTAAGCAGATATAAGATAAATATAACTAAACAGAAGAAAAAATAAAATAAAAGCAGGCATATGTGGTAACTAAAGTAAAACATTGTCCCTCTATCTTAGGGTTAGGGTTTCTCCATCAGATCTTAAATTAGGAAGAGGCTTTTGTGAAGAACCCTGGTTATAAACCCTTTAGGACTTTAGAGTGCATCTCTCATACCAGTGTGAGGTATAATTATAATCCAGTCCCAAATTTTATAAAATCACTCAGGTCCCCTCCCCTTTTTTGTTCTTTTCAAAAAAAAAAATCTTCATGAACTTCTGATGGGTACATGCTTAAAAGGATCACAAGATACTTACTTCATAACACCACCTTCCCATGAGATAATATAAAAGGGGATCTTGTGGCTTAAGTGCAATTGCTTTGTCAAGATGTTCCTGTAAGAAAGATCATAAGAAAGAACTGCCCTTCCTGTTTTCAGCTGTTTTGCCACAATAAATTCAGGCATCTTGTTTGATTTGGTATTTCATAAATGTTAAGAGTTCATCAAGGTTATACGTGCATTAAAAATGTCTAATGACAACTAAAGAATGGGTACAGACAGAGATGACAAAAGTGATATGCATTTCAGGAATCCTCTCTCAATCAACTGAATTCAGGAGTAAGATGGTGCTGATTTTAAGAGGACAGCACTTTAAATCTGTTTTGAGCAGAGACGGAAGTTGGAATCCATGGAATCAAGGGCAAATGAATATTTCTAAGGCATATCAAAGCACACACTCTGGGCCTCCAGGTCAGCAGGGGTCTCATGCTGCTCCTTCCGCATTTAGGGTAGAAGCAGGACAAAAAAAATGTGCTTAATCCAAATGGTGCACTTTTAAATTCTTTTCAGTTTGAAAGTTAGTTTAAGTTATATGGAAGATTGTACTCACACACAAACATTCATCAATGTAACAGTAAACTATGCCTCCCAGACAGAGTTAGTTTTACTTTTACTTCAGTGCTGTCAAGGTGAATTAAGTCAATAACAGTAGCAAGCAGTTTAAGAAAACTACCCAAAACATACCTTAAAAAGATAGCCGTTCCTGATTTTGTTTTGTATAGTTTCAAATTGAGACATGTAGCCACACATCATTGCAAACCTGAAAAGGAAGTGACAAAAAAGAGGGGAGAAAAAAAGGGGGAAAATCATTAGACTTTTATGATCATTACAATACAGATATCCCTTGCTTAGCCACTGCCTTGTTTAGTGACCATTTGCAATTATGATGGGGATGAAAAAATACTTTAATGATTAAATGTTGCAGTTAAGACATTCACTTTACAGGTCTGTAAAGCAAAGAAAAGCTGAAATACATTTTTAAGCACAGTTGTGGTTTCACTTAGTAAGCCAGTCTCAATTGTGGTCGCTAAACAATGCCAGCCTGATACATTACTTTCAGTACGTAAGTAGTGTATTTATAAGGAAGGGAACCATCTTAGAAGAGGCATTCCTTCTCTTATAATATATTACCCAATCTCTTCTAAAATGGCTCTTTCTGATTTGTACAAACATCAACAAAAAGACTATGTAAGTGCTTTATTTATTTGTTGTTCTGGAAAAATAATTACTATAAACAATCCTAAACCATTTTGCGTTAAAGAAAGTTACATTAAATCTACTGGAATTAAGCCTTAGGCGTCGTGGTGTTTAGGCTCATTGCTTTAACTTTTTAAAACTGCAAAGGGTGAAGCAATGAGATTTATTTAACTAGACAACAGGTCCATTTTTATTGTGCATCTTTAGTTGCCAACTCAGCATCAATATGCCTCTGCTAGCTCAAAATCTGTTTTGTGTTAACAAATTCCCAAGTGTAGTTTTCATTGATTCAAATCTTTATGTTTTCAGTCCTGACTCAGATCATCCATAAAGATTAGGGTGGTTTTACTGTAAATGAGTTTCAACTTCAGCTATTAAGTATTCACACTCTTGTGCCTTGCTGTCCAAGCAGCAATTACACACTGCAATTGACTTGCAGCAATGGAGTGGAAATATATATTTTTCCAAACTTGTGGATACAGTAACTATCTGTCTTCTCTAAACCAATACCCATCAGCTGTATTGCTGAAACTGTATTGCTATCCAGGTGAAGAATGCCAGGTTTGGAAAGGAATAGGGAGCAATTCATTATTTTATAGTTTGTCGCCTTATCCCAATCTGTTTTCTTTACAAGACAAATTCAGGATATTCAGGATATTCTTCTATCCAAACAGATGGGATCATCTCACTGTAACACAGCTCAAAAAGAAACCAGACTTGATATTCCTAGCAAAGACAGTTAAAGAATTTCAAGTATTTAGGAGAAACAAGGTTACTAAAACTTGATTTCTCATTATGTTGCAGAGGGCAACATCACTTTCTCTCCAGTTCCACTTGGCTCATTAGGTGCTAATCAGATAAACTCAGCATACCATAGCTAAACGGATTACAGCTAGAAAAGAAAACAATGAAATACAAATAAGCTAATCCTGAAGTTTCATAGAATCTCCAAGTCTGTGCGTGACAAGAGAAGAAAAGTGCTGGGTTAAACCAGTTAAGGGCTACATTTCTGTATGTGAGGGCTTTTCTGGATGAATGAGAAAGCTGCTTATTTTCTCTTAGTGGAAAAGTCACACGAACAATAATCTGCAGTCTATATTCACTGACATCTACAAGAGAAAAGCTGTAGTGTCAGATAGGATGGCAATTTATGTTCATAAGATGCACTGTGAACACCACAGCTGTTTTGGGACAGGCATTATAATTATTTTGAAAACCATGATCAGAATCAGTATAAATGTGATTCAGTATAAATGTGATTCTATGTTAGTGATTTGATTAAATGACTGCAATGCTATGCCAGCTTTCTTTGGAATCTTTCGATACTATTCTAGGTTATACTAAGCTACCACAGATTTGTGATTTTATATAAGGAGAGAAAGAAATGATGGTCTTAGAAAGTAATTTAAAGATACAGGCTGGTGACGCATGTCCTAAAGAAGTCTGAAATAGAATTTCAACTCCACAAACCAGAAACTGATTTAAGTTTAACAGAGATTTTTAAACTTTAAAAATTTTTACAATCTCTACACTAAAAAGCTGAATTTCTAAATTTTTACAAAACAGCAATCAGATTCCAGTAGATTAAAAACAATCTGGAATCTCTCTTTCTCAGGCTATGTACATGAAGCTAGCAAGTATTAATCCATTGGTTAAATATATGGGAAATCGAGAACAGACTGTATAAAATAAAACAGAAAAAGATACCACATTTTGCCTCATATTCAGCTTCCAAAAGATGAGAGACAATCTCTTTTTTTTCAACAAAAGCAGGAAAAATGAACACTATGGCTCATAAGGGCAACATAATTGCAATTTTTATTTCTTTGTGAATGCCATCCATTGCCATATCTGTATCTCAGCAATGATAGAGATTTGACAATAGCAATCATGTACATCCTTGTCCCTATTCATATATCAAAAATACACTTTACTAGAAATTGATGTTGCAGGACAATTTTCATTTTGAAGAAAAAATATTTTAAAAGGCTGTAGAAAGGTCTTTGGGCTGAATCAAGCTTTAGGCAAGATCCCTATTATGATTTAGAGTATTTTCAAGTCAACCAACCAATATTCAATTGACATAACAGTAATCCAGACTGACGTTAGACCACTCCACAATGGCTGGGAGATACTAGACACTAGATAATACTAGATACTAGATAATTCTTCTTCACTGCTATATTGGGAGTCCGCTCCAATCTTTTCAAAATGGCGTACTTTACTTTCCTCACATTTATATAGCTTAACCATATTCCATGTTGGATACAAAATCTGTCTTTATAGTTTTACTATGAGATAAATTAAGAGAAGTGATTGTTGGAATTTTACTGGCTTCCTTTGCCCTCCCCACTGAGCATTTCACCTCAGATTATTCCCCTAGCCCATGACAACTTTAGTGTATAACAGCAGGTTATGTTCTGCAATACTTTGCCAAAACTGAATCTACTTCTCCAGTCAGCCACCCTAGCAAGGATCTGCTGAGGATCATTGCTTCTTAAGAGGTTTTAGACCAAGTGATCTTTTAGGAAGTAAGTTTAAAAGGTATTATTCTGCCAAGCTTTTGGTCCTTGGTTTTGTATGGGCAACCATCATAGCTGACTTTCATTACTGTATTTTTTTCATTACTGTATTCCCAGTACCTGCATGGATTGGGACAGCATATCAATAATATTACATAAATGAAACCACGTAACAAAGCATTTTTATACTGTGATAAACAAGAATGAAACTATAAATCACAAAAGGGAATCGTGTCTTAGTTATGCTTAGAGTAGATCCATTGATTATAGGATCTAGGAGTCCTAGTGGACAACCACTTAAAAATGAGCCAGCAGTGTGTGCTGCAGTCACCAAAAAATCCAACACAATCCTAGGCTGCATTAACAAGGAGATAGAATCAAGATCACATGAAATGTTAATATTGCTTTATAAAGCCTTGGTAAGACCACACTTGGAATATTGCATCCAGTTTTGGTCACCATGATATAAAAAAGATGTTGAGACTCTAGAAAGAATACAGGGTACAGAAAAGAGCAACAAAGATGATTGGGGGACTGGAGGCTAAAACATATGAAGAATGGTTGCAGGAATTGGGTATGTCTAATCTAGTGAAAAGAAGGACTAAGGTTGACATGATAGCAGTGTTCCAATATTTGAGGGGCTGCTACAAGGAACTGTGGGTCAACCTAGTCTCCAAAGCACCTGAAGGCAGGACAAGAAAAATGAATGGAAACTAATCAAGGAGAGAACCAAGAATTAGACCTAAGGAGAAATTTTCTGACAGTAAAATCAATCAACTAGTGGGAAAGCTTGCCTTCGGAAGTTGTGGGTGCTCCATCACTGGAGATTTTTAAGAAGAGATTGGACAGCCAAATGGTATAGGATCTCTTGCTTGAGCAGAGAATTGGACTAGAAGATGTCCAAGGTCCCTTCCAAGTCTGTTATTTTGAAAATTGGAGAGTTTTCATTTCATAAAAACCTAAGTCTTGTACTGAATTTAAGCCTGGATTCCCTCTTTGATATTTTGCATATTTCATGTTTGTTTATTTATTATATATGTTTAGCTACAAGCCATTGTGTCTATAACAGTAGAACAACTTTAAACACAATTAAAAGAGGAGATCTTAACTCATCACTGACCCCTGCACTTATTATCACTTAATTTCTGGATGATCTAGATTCTTTCTTTTTTTTTTGCATAGCTAGTACAAATCAGGGTAATACATAGTTTTCTTTATTAAAATCAGAAAGAGAAGAACATATTTCTTTTTCATCACAACTGAACTGAGAAATAATTCATACCTTTCAATGTTTCTCAGAAACTGATAAATATAATGGGCAATATAAAAGATGATAGAGTAAGCCTGCAATCTGTGAAGGATGGAGTCTTTGTACAAGAGTTTGCTGATATCTTCTGCTACTACTGAGGGCATAATGTGCAACCAAAAACATTCAATACATACAGTAGCTCATTTATGATCCAGTTTCAACCTGTTATACCTAGATAAGGATCTAGGTGTTGCCATAAGCTTCTTATTGCTTCAACCACAATACACAAATAAGAAATCAATTCTCACAGCTCCTCAAATTCCTAGTAAAAATAAATACTTATCCAAAAGTTTACATAAAGCAGATTTCCAAACACTTTGTCTAAATAGAAATCTAGACACTTAGAGCGAGATGCCTATAAAATCTGAGCAAGACCTTGGGCAGCCATTTGTCTGGAATGGTACAAAGTCTCCTGCATGAGCACAGAGTTGGACTATAAAACCTCTAAGGTCCCTCCAAACTCTTGTATTATTGTTCCTGTTACAATATCAGCTTTCATTGAGAGCAAACCCAATGCAGCTCATAGAAGAAGGATAAGATTTCCTATAGGAAGCTCCATTGATCCTTGGATGAACTATGGTTTCTTAAATTTTACAGAGTGGAAGTTCTTTATGTTTTTAATATCTGGAAGTGCCCAAGAAAAGTACATTTCAATTGCACTTAGAGAAAGGAAAAGATTTGCCACGGGAAGAAGATAGGAAAGATAGAATAGGAGACAAGAAAATCTGTTAAGGGATACAGGAAGAGAAACAGATGTCAAAAGCTGCAACAATACTGGAAGAGGAAGTGATAAAAGTGCCTACCACCATCTTTTCATTTGGATAGCTGGAGGAATCTTACTTTACCTCATTACTATACACTGGCTAAAAAAAAGAGAGAGAAAAATACATTTATAAGGGGCAAAAAATGAGCAAAACTATTTCAGTTCTTCAGAACGGAAGAAGCTTCTTGGCTGAGAAGTGAAACATTTTCAAGGTAAAAAATTGAGAAAGTTCAGATGCCTTTGAAAACAGCATCTTTGGGACAACCATGACCTGGGTATTGATAACCTCCATAAACATCCCAAAATGAAACTTTTTAAAGAGGCGAGCCAAGCTTCCCTTTGTTTAATGCCCTTTGCGTGTGCTGAGACTAAATTCATTTTCCCAGACAGTATTTGGTGAGAAAAGCTGAGCTGGTTTGTAGTAAATGTAATACTGAGGGAGAGACAGTAATTTTTTTTATAGTATTGTACATGTAAAACAAGACAGAGAGAAAATTCAGCACATATAATGAAAGGCGGTTCAGAATATGAGTGATTTGAGCTAAAGCCTTAAAACAGCAAAGCTGTTTCTCTCATTGAAATCTCAGAATAGAAGAAAATCTACAGCATCAGTGAATTGTAAAATAATTCAGTAACTTAGAAAGATTCTCAATGAATGAGAATTTATCATACAGTTAGGAAATTAGAAAAACAAAGAATCCAATAGCTCCATCTAATGGCCAAGGCTAAAAAAAGCAATAATTATAAAGACATTCAGATGATAGCATCTGAGGTGTCTTATATGAATGTGGATGTTCAACAGGATCAAACCTGGGTTAGAATTTGAATAGAAACCCACTTGGGAAAAGCAGGGCTGATGGCTAGATTGGAAATATCCCAGAAGAGTGTTTCTCAACTATGGCAATTTTAAGATGCGTGAACTTCAATTCCTGTCTTAAAAAGTTGCCACCGTTGAGAAACACTGTTCTGCAAGGTGGCATTGATGAATACTAGTGACTTGCATACTAGTGACAAGAAAACAATAAATATTTCTCATAGCGTCACCACGAATCAAACTCAACTAAAAGAAAGCATTTTCCCTTGTTTGGGAAATATTCCTATCAATAATCCAAGATAGATAGATCGACAGATCGACAGACAGACAGACACATAGCTTTTATTGTCATTTTTTACTGTGGGCACAATGGCACACATTAAAAATGAAATTTAGTTGCTTGCTCTCAAAGTGTACACATACTGTACATAACACACATACTATATACAACATATGTATAGACCTACATCCTTACATAAAAGTAATATATAAATATTAATCACACAGTATGAATAGAATAGAATAGAATAGAATAGAATAGAATAGAATAGAATAGTAGCTGGTACTAAAGAAAACGCTGAGCCAGATTGACCATTCAGTCTGCTACATCTCAGGTCACTTTCTCAGCCCAATTATAGGAAGATGTCAAGAACTGAATCTGTGAATACAGGTAGTCCTTGACTTACAACCATTCAATGACTGTTCAAAGTTACGGTTCTGAAAGAAGTGACTTATGAGCCTTTTTCACACTTACTTACTGTTGCTTAGAAACAGAAATTTTGGGCTCAATTGTGGCTGTCAGTTGAGGATTCCCGGTATGCATTTATTAAAACAGTTCGTCTGTTTTAGGCTTTTCACGACTAAAAGTTGTAGAAATGAGATCAAAGATATGGTAAAAAATCCACTATTCAAACTTACCACTGATGACTCTCAGCACTTGATGGATCCAAGTTAACTGCATTCTCTCCAACAAGTTTTCCTGAAAAAGGTGCATTTTACAGATTTTAACAATATGCATAAAGTGATATTAGATCATGCTCCATTCACTCAATAATAAATACAATTATATATTGACTATGACATTAAATTGGGAATCTTGTGTGGCTCCCTTGACTGAAGATTGGTACACTCCTATCTGGGATGGTCGTCCTCTTCCACCGAGCGCGCAGCTTCGGGAGGGACACACATGGAGCAGTGAGGGAGGAAAGGGACACCCGACTAGCCAGCCAGATCAGCCAAATCAACCCTGGTGATCAATGGGGTGACAGATGTTTATGTTTATTTGTTTATGTTTATTTAAATTTGTATACCACCCTATCTCCCTTACGGGACTCAGGGCGGTGAACAGGCGATAATAAAAATCACAATAAATACCTATTCTAAAATCAGATTAAATAAATAAAGGCCTGCTCTAAAATACCCCATATAAAACCTGCACTAAAACATAATTAAGACTACGCCAGGCCGGCCGCACGGAATAGATGGGTTTTCAGGGCTCGGCGAAAAAGGTGCAGGTCTGCAGATGTCGCAGCCATATCACCCTCACATCCGTTGTGTGACTTCAGATTAATTTAATTCAGCAGGACACATATCCAGGATAAAACCAATATGGTGTAGTGATTAAGATACTGGGCTAGGCAGGGGACATCCAGGTCCAAGTCCCCCCTCAGCTGTGGAAGGTTATATAGAGCCACTGTCTCTCAGCCTAACCTTGTTTGCAAGGCTGTTTTAGGAGAAAGTAGGAAAAGGCATGTTACCTTCAATTCTTAGAGGAAAGATGTACTGTACGTCTAATAAATAAACAAACATATTCAGCTTTGCAATTCTTATTTTGAAAAATACAATGCATGTTTTGGTAGGAAATTAAAAAGAACCTGAAACAAAATAAAACCTGAAGCCTGAACTGGGGCAGGGAAGCTCCTTCTCTGAAATTCCACTAATATACCGTACATGATCAGCTAAATATTCTCATCATCTTTCTTGGTGGGAAGCTGTCCTGGTACAAGCAAAGAAAAGTAAAGAGGGAATCAGATTAATACTCAGCAGGATTGTTACCTAAATTATTTTTTTCCTCAGCTGACTAAATGAACTACATCTTATTTTCAGCAGAAGCAACAATAAAACAGCATTCCTGATATGTTTCTAGTTTGAACAAATTTGCCTTAAAATCTATTTGAACAGCCAACCTTCAGCCGCATAATTCTTTTTCTCCTCAGCATCTGTAGTTAACTCAAACATGTCCCCATAAGCTCGAGCAAGTCTCCAAAGAAAGCCAGGATGGTTTCGGTACTGCTTGCAAACACAGAGATGAATTAGATTGGCTTTATTGCAGAGGCCTTTTGACATATTTAAAAATGCCTGTTCCCCCCCCAATTCCCCACGTGCCACTCTGTAAGTGATTGCATTGTCTTGTATTTTAAATTCATTGGCCTCATGCGTTATGTTGTACTTTATCTATTGACTACACTTTTGATGCTGCCCGACTCCAACCAATTCGGAAGTTGCTCATAGAACAAACTTAAAAACAATGAAATATAATAAAGTAGGCCAAAACAAAAAACAAGATAATTACAAGACAGCAATCTAGAAAATCCATAAAAAAACAGGGGAACTCCATCCACCCTAGGCCAAGATCTGGGAGAACAGCCAGGTTTTCAAGGCCTTTTGGATATCACTTAGAGTAGGAGCTGTAAAGATCTCATGGGGGCCCTAATTCCAGAGAGAAGGTGCCACTACCGACATTGTACCCTTCCTGGGTCCCAAAAGATGACGCTGTTAAATTGTGGAGACTCAGAATGCACTTATTCCGCCAGATCAGTAACCCCAAAGAAATGGCCTTATGTCACAAAAAAAATTTCCCAGAGTTTTTTGTTGCAGCAAATAATAGAATCTGGAATTTAAAGTCTCTGCAGGATCTAAAATTTAAAGTATCTGCAGCAAAGTAAGATTTTTTGCTGCATGGCCTGATAGATTTCTATAGATAGTGACATTGAAGCAATACAGTGTTTTTTTCCTTTCTGCAAACGGAACTAATATAGCTTATTTTGACCCTTCAAATGAGTTTATCTAACCACTGAAATTCATTCATTCATTCATTCATTCATTCAGATCATATGTGTGCCACATATAGAATGTTGAAAACATGCAATGGGGTTTTGTACAAATTGGCTGCCATGATGGCTACATCTAGCAATAGCCATTGGCAACATGTACATTGGCATCTCCCCTACGCATTAAAGACTCTTTTATCACCTGAGCTAACTTTTATCTTTCTTTCCTATGCAAGAGGGCTGCTTCTGAAGAAAGTATCACTTTTATTTCTTTAGAAAGGCCACAGACATTATACATGATGCAGTGCCAGCTTCCTTCCACCATCTTCATTTTAGCATAAACAAGATGGATCTTGACAGACTTGAACACTGGGCTCTACCTAACAAAATGAAATTCAACGTAGAGAAAAGTAAAGCCTTATACTTAGGCAAGAGAAAACAAAAGTACACATACAGAATTAGGTGAAACCTAGCTTAATAGCAGTAACTGTGAGATGGATCTCGCAGTCCTAGTGGACAATCAATTAAATATGAGCCAGCAGTGTGTGGCTGCAGCCAAAAAAGCCAATGCAATCCTAAATTGCATTAAAAGAGGGATTGAATCAAGATCACATGAGGTACTAATACCACTCTATAAAGCCTAGAATACTGCATCCAGTTTTGGTCACACTATAAAAAAGATGTTGAAACTCTAGAAAAAGTGCAGAGAAAAGCAACAAAGATGGTTAGGGGCCTGGAGGCTAAAACATATGCAGAATAGTTGCAAGAACTGGGCATGTCTAGTTTAATGAAGAAAAGGAGCAGAGGAAACATGATAGCAGTGTTCCAATATTTGAGGAACAATCATAGATAGGAGTGGACAATCTATTTTCCAAAGCACCCGAACACCAGACAAGAAACAATGGATGGAAACTGATCAAGGAGAGGTTCAACATAGAAATAAGGAGAAATTTTCTGACAGTGAGAAAAACCAACCAGTGGAACAGCTTGCCTTCAGAAGTTGTGGATTCTTCATCACTGGAAGCTTTCAAGAAGAGACTGAACAGCCACTTGGCAGAAATGATATAGGGTCTCCTGCTTGAGCAGGAGGTTGAACTAGATGACCTACAAAGTCCCTTCTAACACTTGTTTTTCTATTCTATTCTAAGTTCCTACCAACCTTGTTTTCCATCCTTTATTCTTGTACTAAATTCCTTATTGTATTCTGGAAACAAAATGGGAAGTCCTTGTTGCTGCTGGAACCCGTGATGGGAAATTAACCAAGGAGAGAAGCAACCTAGAACTGAGGAGAAATTTCCTAATGGTGAGAGCAATTAACCAATGGAACAGATTGCCTTCAGAAGATGTGGCTGCTCCATTACTGAAGGCTTTCAAAAAGAGATTAGTCAACCATTTGTGTGAAATGATATAAGGTCTCCTGTTCGAGCAGAAGGTTGGACTAGAAAACCACTAAGGACCCTTCCAATTCTATTATTCTATGTTGTCTCTAATCCCACAGTAAAAACCCACAAACTTAATGTGGGAAGAAAGCCTGCCAGGAGAGGCAGAACTTGACAATGGATGAAGGGCAGTGGTTAGAATCCAGTATTGCAGGCTAATTCTGTTGTTCGGCAGTTCGAATTTCATTGGCTCAAGGTTGACTCAGCCTTCCATCCTTCCGAGGTCAGTAAAATGAGGACCCATATTGTCGGGGGAAATGTACTGATTCTGTAAACCACTTACAGAGGGCCATAAAGCACTGTAAAGCGGTATATAAGTCTAAGTGCTATTGCTAAATGCTATTTCCCGTCTGCACTGAATAACCATAACCACTTATAAGCAAATATTTAGGAATGCTAATCAAAGGGGTCATTTTTAAGTAATGGGATTTCCCCCCCTTAAAACCAATCTATTTAAATGTACCCTTAAATTTTAACGCGACTAAAACTTTTAAAAGGACGCCATGGAAGGCCCTGAACTATCGACCGTACCTGCTCTTCTCTTTCGAGCAATAGTTTGAAGCTTTCTCTTTTCTCATGTTCCGAGCCACCATGAATTCTGTCCATCTCCTGCAGAAGATTAAATAAATCTTTTTTTTCTTCTGGCATCAAAGAAGATACAGAGGAATTGATCCATCCTTTTTCCTCCTCAGATTCTCCTTCAGTATCAGTATGAGCTGTCATGTAACTAAAATAGGAGAGGGGAAAAATATAACCTCTTCTTGAAAACCAGCATGGTTATATTGCCGCTTTTAACTGTTATTTTTTTCTTCGTAATTAACATATCTTAAGAATGCTGCAAAGTTGTTGAGCATTTTCATTAATTTGGCAACATCCCCAGACAGACCAATTAAATTACGCTTAAATCAGGCACAGTTCTATGGTCCTTTGCACTACAGATACTCCTTGGCTTACAACCATTCGTTTAGTGACCGTTCAAAGTTACAGTGGGACTGAAGAAAGTTACAACCGTTTTTCACACTTATGATCCTTGCAGCATTCCCCTCCCCCCATGGTCACATGATCAAAATTCGGATGCAAGGCAACTGGCATGTATTTATGATGGCTGCAATCCCGGGGTCATGTGATCATCTTTTGTGACCTTCTGACAAGCAATGTCAATGAGGAAGCCAGGTCCATTTAACTATTATGTTACATCTTCAGTGATTCACTTAACAACTGTGGCAAGAAAAGTCATAAAATGGGACAAAATTCATTTAGCAACTATCTTGTTCAGCAATGGAAATGATGGGCTCAATTGTAGAAGAACTACTTGTACTGTATAATTTCTTTTTTTAAAAAAACCTATTCAGTTAATTTACAGTGACATTTTTGATGTTGAAACATAAAGCCAATCTGAATTTAATGAAACTTAGCAAATACAAATTTTCCAATAGATATTATCCTTATCTTCAGTTTCAGTTGAAATGTTTATCGTTTTAAAAGGAAGAAAATAATTTCTTTAAAATTACCAACTGAAAAATTCTTCAGACAATTGAATTGTAGAAAAGATACACAATGGAATTACGGGTTTTAAAAGGCAATCATTTGGAACTAACAACATTTCTACACCAAATCAAAAATATTCTGACATTTAGAGGCATTAAGATTTATTATGGCAGTCAGTATCATTTACTGAATCACAAGACCTTGAGACAAGATAAATTATCTCTTAGGTTCCAATGAAAACATTTCAATCCTTTAAAAAAAAATCAAGGTCTTGTCCTTAGCCTTGAGAAGACAGTACTGCATATTACAAGTTGTTGTTGTAGTTCTTAAGTGTTTGTCCCACAAGGTTTCATAGTCTGCGCTCACATTTGCTTCTTATATCAATGAGTGATGCAACAAGGGAGTTTGTTTTTCAGCTGGCTTACTGCAGAATCCAAAATTCATTACAGCTGAGAGGGAGTGACTGCCCCAAGTCTACCCACTGGACTTCTGTGTATGAGGAAGGACTAGTACTCTCTGCTTCTAGTCCAGCTCTAGAACATACTGGCTCTATTGGTGTAAGATTTGTTATGCCAGTAAAATTCAAGCCATCAAATTCATAACCACAAGTCTGCAAATACTGTATTGACCTATTTTACAAGAGCTTTTTTATCTGCTGTAGGTTGCTTTTGTCTATGAAAATTAGTACAGTCATTATCAGGGAAGGAGAAGAATTCTATTTCAGTTTCTCTCTAGAGCTTATAGATAGTAGCTGCATTGGTAAAGACAGCCCTTATGGGTAAATCAAGCATCTTTACATCTTGCAGCTGGTTCAGCTTTCTCCTTTAGAGAGAGGCAGGATCCAAGCATATTGGCCTTCCACTTCAAGAAAAGGGAAGATCTCAAGAAAGTCCCCAAAACTGACATACCTAATAGTCCTCCCTCCTTTTTCCTACAACAACCTTGTGACGTGGCTAGGCCTCAGAGACAGTGTCTGGTCCCAAGTCCCTCAGATGCTTTTCATGTCTAAGGGAGACCTAGAACTCAAAGTCTCTTGGTTTCTAGCCCAGTACCTTAACCATTATACCAAACTGTCTCTACACTAGAATGTGCCCAACATCAAATATTTTGTGGGACGAGATACTAGAAAATCCATCAGTGGGCATATTTCATCTTTTTGCTCAAAAGTAGTAGAACCTTTCAATGATTGTCTTTTAGTGGTTAATTTTAGAACTGTATAAAAAAGTGCATGTCCATCATCACATAGGCCAATTACATTTATTTTGCTTTGTCTATACATATCTATACAATTGTTTTCTGAGGTTTTCACGGGTGTTTGTATGTAGGTCTTTGGTTATTCGGGTTTTCTCCCACGTAGAATTGGAAGTGTCTTGGCGACGTTTCGACGAAGTCACATTCGTCATCTTCAGGCTGGTGTTTTCAGCTTCGTGCTTCTAGGAGTAATGTGAGATCGCAGCTGTTTCTTCCTTTTAACTGCCAGTGGGGTTTGAACTGATTGGGTGGGAGCTTGGCTGTGTTCTGATTGGGTGGAGATGTGTTCTGATTGGTTAAGGGGCTTGGCTGTGCTCTGATTGGATGGGGGGGTTGGCTGTGCTCTGATTGGATGAGGGAGTGTTCTGTTTGGGTGGGGGCTTTGTTGTGCTTGGATTAGTCTGAGTTGCAGGAGGATTTGAGATGGTGAGCTGTGTTGCTGTTGTTTGGCTTCGTGTTCGTGGTCGTGCCACATCTTTATGGTGGATGTCAGTTTGCTTCATGTATGGATTGGGGGGGTTTAAAGTGGCTAATGATGCAGCTGTGGACTGGCTTCTTGTTTGTGGTCGTGCCTCATCATCTGTGTGGGTTTGGGTTTGCTTTTTGCGTGGATGTGGATGTCACCACCACACAGCCAAGCTCCCACCCAATCAGTTCAAACCCCACTGGCAGTTAAAAGGAAGAAACAGCTGCGATCTCACATTACTCCTAGAAGCACGAAGCTGAAAACACCAGCCTGAAGATGACGAATGTGACTTCGTCGAAACGTCACCAAGACACTTCCAATTCTACGCGGGAGAACACCCGAATAACCAAAGACCTACATCTATACAATTGTCTATACAATTCTTCCACTCTATATTCTGTTTCACATATACATATCAAAACATACAAAAAGGAACAAGACAGGGATACCCACTCACTCCTCTCTTGTTTATTTTGTTTTTTGGAATACTAAATAGAGATATCAGATGAGAGGATTGTGGGAGTAACGATTTAAAAAGAAACTTGTAAGTTAAGGGCTTTTCCAGATGACCTGCTGCCAATTCTGGAAGATCCTTTAAAAGGAATTGAAATATAAATGGGCAAATTAAAAGAATTTAGTGTATTAGCAGGTTTCAAGATTAATAAGCCGAAAATGAAGCTATTAAGAAAAATATGAAAATAGAAGTTCAAAAAGAATTTATGGATAAAGTAAGTTTTAAAATTGAGAAGAAAGTAAAATATCTCTGACAAATATTAATTGTATGTTATTTCAAAATAAGTATTAAGACATGGAACGAAGTTAGTAAGACATGTTAAGATGGGAGAAACTACAACTCTCGTTGTTGGGGAGAATTTCTGTGATAAAAATGAATACCTTGCCTAAATTATGCTTTTGTTTCAGGCAATATCTGACTTGATAACCGAAGTACAATTTAAACAGTGGCAGAAGAATATATCTATATTTGTGCGCAGGGTAAAAAAGACAAGTTAAATATAAAGTGTTACCAAATACGAAGAAAAGAGGATTGACTTTACCCAGTTTGAAACTGTATTTTGCAACTCGTTGTTTGGTTTGGATGAAAGAGTGGATGTTACTGAGAAATAGAAGGCTTTTGGAGTTAAAAGAACATGACCCGAGATTTGGGTGGCATGGATATTTGTGGTATGATAAAATTGAGGTTAATGTGGATTTTAAAAATCATTATGTTAGATGTGCCATATTAAGAATAGGGAATAGATACAAATCCAGGTTGTGCCCCAAAACACCTTTGCGGCTCTCAGCACAAGAAGCATTTTACAGGTGAAAAATAATAGGCAAATACAAATGGTTAACTTATAGTGAGATACTAGAATTTTGTCAAGACAGATGTAAAATAAAATCAAGAGAAGAATTGATGGCTGAGGAATTGATGGCTGTAAGTAATTTTCTTATTTACAATTAGAAAGATTTAAAGTAGATAAAAAGAATTAATAGTCTGAACATTCTAAGATTGAGTTTGAAATTTAACTGTGTACAAATGATGAACATGTAATTGCTAAAATGTATATCATTGATATACATGCATGATAAAATGGGCTAAAAATTTTGGTTATAATACACAGATGGAACAATGGGAAAACAAGTGATTGAAATGATTGAAATGTACACTATCTTATAATTTTAAAGAGGATTTTCATAAATATACCATTGGTATACCATACAATATGTCACAAGAGAAAATGTGTAAAGGCATATCAAATTTATGTTGGAAATGTGAACAAGGACATTTTATCCTTTTTAATGAACATATGAAAAAGCTAGAACAAATACATACACTTATTGAGAGAATTTTAAAAATTAATATACAACCGAAATGAGGTTGTTTTTCTTTTGGGATTTATGGACAAACATTTGGAAAAAAGTGATGGAACTTTGTTTTTGTACATAACTGCACTGATATTATTGTCTGCATAATAATAGAAAGATGTGGCACAACCCACAATGGAGGAATGGATGGTGAAGACGATGGAACTTGCTGAGCGAGCCAAATTGAATTCTTTGATCAGAGAAAACCCTTTGAAGACCTTTTGCATGAAACAGGAAAAAAATGAACTTATAGCTTATGGTTTTGATGATTAGACAGGGTAGATTATAGAAAGAAGAGAGTTACGTTGTAAACATTGAGTATAAGGCAAAATTATAGCTGTACTTATAACTGCTGCAAACAAAATTGGAAGTTATTTTTTTGAAACTTTTTTCTTTCTTGTCTATTTTTTTTTTACTTTCTTTTAATTTTTTCCGTTCTTGCACCTTTATCTTTCTGTTGGATTTCTTTCTTTTTCTTATATTAATTTGCATTGGTTTTTATCTTCCTTTGAAAAATAAATAAAAATTATACATAAAAAGTACCTTGCTTTTCTGGACTTTTTTATCTTTTAAAAACTAAGCGTTTCATTAACACTACCCCAAGTATTTTTAAAATACTCACCCGCCTTCACTTTCAGCTTCTTCAGAACTGGTGGTATCAGATACGCCTGGAGCTGCTGCCTCGATCTTTCTCTTCTTTGCAGGCCTGTGTAAAGGGCTGGTTCTGCGGCTTTCTGTTTTTCCTTGAAGTTCATCCCAAACAAGTTCATCCAACTTTGGAATAGCTTCTTTCAAAAACGTCAATTCCCTTTTCAGTTCTTCCACACTGATCACCAAGCCATTCAATTTCTCCAATATCTGAAGCTGTCTTCCTTGTAACAGCAAAGCTGTTCTTTCTTCTTGGTGAGTTTCATATGGAAAATCTATTAAGTCAAAACCGTTGGCTGAATTTGGAAATACAGGCAAAGGCATAGCTTTGCTGCGTCTGTGTGTCTTGAGATACCAACACAGGACATAGGTTACTCCAGCAGCTCCTGCCATTAAGCTAAATATTAGCTTTTTGCTTTCGAAGTGGGACATGCCTGCTGCTTCTGAAATAGTGTACAAAGCAGAAAAGAAACCATAGTTTAATGCTTTCTGTGAAATACCTTGCTTTTTGTAAAAGGCAGCGAGAGGCGCAGGTCATTCTTTTTTATGTTCTCTGTTTTCTTATGATTTTTAATTAAGAGGCAATTTGGGCTGCTATCTTAAAGATATACATCAAAGATTTATGCATCAAAATTTGGAGGCAATTCATGATGCCTCCATATGGGTCTGGTTTTCAATCTAACCACATTTTAAATACAGGTAGTCCTCAACTTACAACAGTTCGTTTAGTGACCGTTCAAAGTTACAACAGCACTGGAAAAAAGTGATCTATGACCATTTTTCACACTTATGACCATTGCAGCATCCCCACGGTCACGCGATCAAAATTTAGGAACTTGGCAACTGACTCATGACGGTTGCAGTGTCTTAGGATTTTACCTGTTGTGGTACCTTCTGACAAGCACAAGCAATGGGGGAGTCAGAGTCACTTAACAACCGTGTCACTAATTTATCAACTAAAGCGATTCACTTAACAACTGTGGCAACAAATGTTGTAAAATGAGGCAAAGCTCACTTAATCAATGTTTCACTCAACAACAGAAATTTTGGGCACAATTGTGGTTATAACCCACGGATTACCCGTATCTGGCTGATTTGAAATGAGGTTCTAAAATCTAATCTATCTGAACCCTAATTTGATTGTATTCTACATAGCAAAGTACTATATATTTTCCTTTGAAGAGTGAGTAGGCCATAAATATTTTAAACTTCAAAAAATTCTAAGCAGTAGATTCAAATTTTCTTTTGCCCAATTCTCCCAAAGAAAAAATACATTTATTATAGTGATACCATCTTTCCCATTCATATGTAAATAGAGCAATTATTAAGTTCCACATTAAGGATCAATAGTTTTCATGTGATGGTAAAGACTGTTAATTTTTCAAGATAATCTGAAGCCACAACTAAATAGAATGGTAAGTACATTTACTTTTGTGCTGAATGATATATATATATATCAGTAATTTTCTATGTTTCTGTTATGAGCTTTTGGGCAGCAACTGAATTTAAAGCTATTCAACAGATGAACAGACAGAAATTAAGGCAGCTCAATAATCTATCCAAGGCAATGATGAAAACTTAAAGTCAGTGTCAATGTCATGTATATCAGGGGTCCCCAACCCCCCGGTCCATGGACCGGTACCGGGCCACGGCATGCCAGCAACCGGTCCGCACAAACAAGCAAAGCCCCATCCATGGAATGCAGGCAGCACACAAAATCATGCACTCTCCGGTCCGTGGAAAAACCTTTCTCCACAGAACTGGTCCCTGGTGCCCAAAAGGTTGGGGACCTCTGATGTATATGATAAACTGAGTGATTGTAATCGAGAAGTTCAAGACAATTCTATTTATATTATAGCCTATGGGCCTTTCTCTACTATTGAAATAACATGTTGTCCACTCAGCTTTGATGTGGAACAAAATAATCCCAACACAAAAGTTGCTGTCCCTAGTGACCATCCCTATCAGGTTCTATGGTGCCTATCTGGAGTCACTGCCAGGTGAGTATGTCACTCATACCGGTAATAAGCAAAGTGTTGGCATTTGCCTCTGGCTTGGCTCCAATTTCCTTTTCAATATATCACCCGCCAGCAAGTAAAACATCCCCTAAACCAGTGTTTCTCAACCTTGACAATTTTAAGGCATGTGGACTTCAACTCCCAGAATTCCACAGCCAGCATTGCTGGCTGTGGAATTCTGGGAGTTGAAGTCCACATGCCTTAAAATTGTCAAGGTTGAGAAACACTGCCCTAAACAGACACTGCAGCTGGGAGGGCAAGGACCTTACTTCTGGATACTGCCCAGGCCATTGTAGACTAGTTTGTCTACTGTTCCTCCCACAGCTCAGAATCTCATGTTTAAATAATGTGGAATACAGAAATGGGACACAAGGCAGAAATAGCCCAAATTAGGTGGGAGTCAAGATTCTTCCATGACTGCACAAGTAAAAAGTGAGTAGCTATTGGACAATCAAGTATATTCCTGGTAGAAGCAGAGGGTTTAGAAATAATAAATGCTGGGAAATGAATGGTTGCAATGGAACATGTGCTAGCATGCTGCCCTCAAAGTGCTCATGACAGAACTGATCACATAGACAATAGATTTGGGACTTTTCCCAAAATTCATATTTTATATACCTTCGAGCAGTGGTAAAACAGTTTTGGCTTAATACAAATCTTCACTTCAGTAGACCAATTCAAAGGAGAGGATATCTGTTATTTACAAATGTGCATTAAATTATTATTATTATTATTATTATTATTATTATTATTATTATTATTATTATTATTATTATTATTATTATTTATTATTTATTAGACTTATATGCCGCCCTTCTCCCCACAGGACTCAGGGCGGCTCACAGCATATTAAAACAGTACAAAGCACTATCCCCAATAAAAACCAATTAAAAACAAATATTTACCGCTGTGTCATGTTAAAATAATAATTAAAATTGTCCCTATTTAAAATTCTCTAGAGACTTGTCACTTTGTATCATTTGCATAATGTCTTTACACAAATGTTGTTAATCAATGTGTAAAAACATTTGTTCTGTGCAAAGCCAATTGCACTGATCTTTGATAAATCAAGGTTTCACTGAAATTTAAAACCAATGCAAAGATGACAGGACAAGGCTATTTAAATTGTTGGTCTGGAATGAGGAGAGGACAATGTTATAGGGTCAAGGATGAAGATTAATAAATTCATACAGTGGCTGCATTATATTAAGGTGGATATGGATAAATCACAGGCATGATGCCTACATTCTTTCGAAGAAATAACAATTTTCTAAATTAGTTTAGAAGGCACCTTTCCAAATGATGTTGCAATCCTGGAAAGTATACACCCTGGCCTGCGAGTAAACAATTCATACTGTTGAAACTATCCAGCTCCAGTTCTCCAAACACTGCTAAAGACTTGGTTGGCCTGCTTTAGAATAATCATTCATTAGGTTTCTAAAATGTTACTTAGAAGCAGATATTAGTTAAATTTCGTACTCGGTATGGTAGCAAATAAATCAAGAAAAATCAGTTTCAGATAAGAGTATCCAGGATCATAACTATGTATTCTGTTGGATCAAATAACCTAATGACTAATAATTAATGAAAGGCTAACTTCAGAACTAAACTAAATTCAGGAAAAGTTATTTCTAAGTAGTCCTGCCTATGATTGTTTTTTAGATATTTATTACAACAGAGCAAAAGCTTTGGAGAGGTAGTCTCCCTGTGACTTAATAATACGATTCATTTCTAGGGTGCCTAAAACTCGAATTGTGTTCTCTTCCCAGAAAGCCTGTCTCTAACTGTGCTGTCCCCAATGCTTTAGGTGAGTTGCTAAGCTGAACATGTTGGTTGTCTTACAACCGAAACAACCACGCATAACCCGAAAATCTATGCTGCTCACTGTGGACATACTATCGCAAGAAGCGGTGCTGTTTACAGCCCAGGCAGCCTGAACCGAGCAGAGAGCGCCTAGGCGCAAACTACGCGAGCCTCTGGCGCTGTCGAGGAGGAAACACGCATCCCTGCAGCCGCTTCTGAGCGCCTCTTTCCCCTTCGAAAGACGCAGAAGACACGCTCAGTCTCAGCGTTTCCACCTACCAGGGAAGCCCTCCCGCCGGCGCTCCGATCCGGCTTGCCACTGCTCCTGCGCTCCCGGCGCCTCCTTCCCCGCTTCCGCACCTGAGCCTGGAGGAGAGACAGCGGCGGAGAAACGCTCAAAGGCCGCCCACACAGTTTGAGACCCGGATACGGATGGGCGGGCGGTGGACAGCCGCTCCCGGCAAAGCGACGCTTCTTAATTGTTCGCCAGATGCGCTGGACGGTAGCTCCCATCATCCCCTGCCAGTTGACCTCCAACACGGCTCGAGGACGCTTTTCATGGAGCTGGGAGGACTTCCGGGGTCCACTGTCAGGGATGGGAGACTTGTCAGTCTTCTGGAGAGCTCGCAATGCAAACGCCGCCGAGGACCCGGCTGGCTGAGTCAAATTGGCAGGTTCTCCTCTGCTGCTCCTCGCCTCGGAGATCTCGGATACCGGCGGAAACTATTAGTATGCCCACTTATCCGAGGTTGCCTCCGTTGAATGTAATAGGAGTTTTGACGTCAATACTTGGCTGTTTTGTTTGGGGGGAAAATCTGAAATGCATTTCAAGTGAATGCCTGGGAGTGAATGCGTTTTGTCTCCAATCACCAGAAAGTCATTTTGGTTATACCAGCGATGCAACTGCTAGTTGAAAATTATCTTTGGGAAACGACCTTGTACTGTTTACTTGAAGATAGCACAACAAATGAGCCCAGAATACTTTTTTAAATATGTAAATTGGGAAGGAAAGAAGGAATCCAAACCTTTAACCTTGTGTTAAATTATGTTATGCAATGGCACAGTTGTCAAAGACAGTAAAAGTACTGTACTTTTTTTCAATCAATTTGCAGTAAATCCTTTAAATTACATTTTAAATAGTAATTTACACTCTAAAACTATTTTGATATTTTACTTGTTATCTTAACATATTGTGTAGAGTGATGGACAAACATTGTAGAAACTTGTTTGATTGCAGAAACCAGTACCCAGATTCCTAGTTGTGAATAAAACTCTAGATTGTTGTGTCTCAATTTGTCAGTTATGAGGGGAAAAAATGGTAGCAAAAGAAACCATATAAAATGCCTTGAATTTTTGGAGGACATAAAATATCTATATAAATAAAAATGTAAATGTTCGTTTGTTCAAAATCTTAAATCTCCAAAAGTTCTTCACCGATTGCTTTGAAATTTTGACACAACGTTGCATTCAAATACATGCATGTTTCTTTATACCTATTATATAGATGTCACACCTGTGACAGGTAAAAACATGCTTTTTTGAAAAACAGCGCTATCTGTTGGACGTAAAAGCTTTCTCTTTTCTTTCTTTTCCCTTTAACCAGACTGAGCCACAGCAACGCATGGCTGGGAACAGCTAGTAGTCAATAAATATGTCCATTACTC